CTACATGGGCCAGTTATGTGGCCATATGGTCCTTATGATGTTCATTTCCGCATTTCTTGTGGTCTAGGTCCTTTTTCCTAAATCCTTAGTTTTATCTTTTGCTATTTTTTTTAACCAAGTGATTTTTATTGCAGGATTAATACGCAAAATGTCATTCTTTTGCTAATTATTTGATAGTTCTGACTTTGTACACTCAGATAATTAAAAATTCTGGCCAGTGTCTCCTTTTCTTCCCTTTTCTTCCAAGTTTAAAATAACCATCTTGCACAAGTTTATTCTCTGTAAAACAGGCATTGAAAAGTCTACAGTAAATTAAAAATTTCAGCTAATCACTGGAGGCCTATAATCCCTGATATTCTAAACAAATTTGTCTGTCAAATGCAAAATTTTGTTTTAATCATTTGCTATTTCAGCTATCTTTTGTGCTTTCATTTTATAGTACTTTTCACATTTCTGAGTTACTTCCATGCAATATTTCAGATGCTTTGGATATTGTTTGGGGATTTATTGTTCAAAAAAGTAAGATTCAGTTGCTAGCTAGAGGCAGGATAAGCCTTCCAGATCTGATGAGTTTTCAGGGATCTCCTAAATGCAGACAGAGTAGGTGATTGCGATACAGGTTGAGGTAGGGAGTTCCAGAGAACAGGAGAAGCCATGGACATGAGCATGGGAGGAGGTCACAAGAGTGCTAAAGAGCAGGAGGTCTTGGAAGAAGCAAAGTGGACATTTTGGTTGATACTTTGGGACAAGGCTTGTAATGTAACAGTTTGCAGAGTTGTGAATGGCTCTGTAAATTGTTATTAATATTTTGAATTGTTTTTGTTGGGTGATCAGAAGGCAGTGGAGAGATTGGCAGACAGGGGTGGCAGACACTGAATGGTTGGTAAGGTGGATAAGTGTGGCAGCAGTATTCATGATAGACAGAAGGGAAAGTTGGTGTAGAGATAGGTCAATGAGGAGGGAATTGTACTTACAATCATAATAATTGTAACTGTATTGCCTCCCTTAAATTTTTAACGCACCCTGTAAAATGTCATTTTATAAATCCTAAATAATAGTAAAGTTATTTAATTAAGTGTTCATAAAACTAATAATAAAGAGCTGTGGCCATTTTCAATTTTCATAGTAATTTAGCTCTGTCTGCTGTCCCACAATGGTGGGAAGAGCAAAGCAGTTTTGCATCACCCCCACCCATGGGACAGTGGCAGACCCTGAAGTCTATGGTCCTATTATGAAACTATAGTGTTACTTACCTTTACCCACTGTCTTCTCCAAAAGTATGACAGGAAACAGACCTCCTATGTGCCTCAGGTGGACCTATAAAAACTTTTGTTATAGGGTTACGGGAGGCACGTGAAAGGATCATTGCCTGTCACCCTTGTGGAGAAGCCATTGGTTAAAACTGATTTCCATGTTTCCTGTCACTTTTAATAGTTGGTTTGGACCAAGCTAGTTCAAATTAACTATTTCCTTTACTAACTGCTGCAGTGTCTCTAAGCACTGTATGTAGTGTATGTAGTTTCAGCAACATACAGTAAACAGTTCTGTGTTCTGGCTGTGAGACAGAGACTTCCCATCTCACAACCAGGACACTACAAAATCGGTCTGAGCTGTGCTCAGCCATTCATAGGCAGCTATGTATTCTGTGAATGAATACAAAGCTTACTCTGATTGGCTGAGGCAGAGAGGTTGGCTGATGATGTCACAATCTCTGACTTAGCCAATCAAAGGAAGTTTGATTCCTCAGACTGCCTCTATATTGTACTGGGTGGGAAACAGGAAGTCTATCTCACAGCCGGAACCCTGCACTGTGTACTGTATACAGCTGAAGCTACATACAGTACATATAGTGCTTAGTGAAGTTAGTGAAGGATGTAATTTGTTTGGACCAGCTTTGTCAAAACAAACTATTCATAGTGACAGGACACATGGAAATCAGCTTTAATCACCTCCCACCCACCATATAAGGAAATGATGGGTGGGCGGCAGACCTCTCATTCTGAGAGGAGGTCATATGATGTCCTCCCACTCTAACTGCGCATGCGCGCCCCGTTGGCATGGCGATCGTTGGTGCACTGTGTCCGAGGGACACAGAGGATCACAAATCAAAGCAAAGAGCCGTTGACGTTGGCTCTATCATGTGATCAGCTGTTTCCAATCACAGCTGATCTCATGTAAACAAGGAAATGCAGGTTATCGGCAGTCCTCTCCCCATGCTGACAGCGCTTGAGGAGAGGAGAGCCGGTAGCATAGGGTACATATACACTAATCATCAGGGTACTTATGATCAGTGCCCTGATAATCAGTTTAGCCCCATCAGTGCCACCTGTCAGTGCCCATCAATGTCACCTGTCAGTGCCCAACAATGCTACATACCAGTGCCCATCAGTGCACATCATTGCCACATATCAGTGCCTACCAGTGCACATCCAGAGTTGCCTTTCAGTGCCAACTATCAGTGCTAGTCAGTGTGCCGCCTATCAGTGCCCATCAGTGCCGCCTATCAGTGCTCATCAGTGCTACCTAACAGTTCCAATCAGCGCCGCCTAACAGTTTCAATCAGTGCCGCCTATCAGTGCCATTCAGTGCCACATATCAGTGCCACCTATGAGTGCCGCCTAACAGTTCCAATCAGTGCCACCTATCAGTGCCAGTCAATGCCGCCTATCAGTGCCACCTATCAGTGCCATATATGAGTGCTGCCTTTCAGTGTCCATCAGTGATGCCTGTCATTGCCCATCAGTGCCGCCTATCAGTGTGCACCACTGCAGCCTCATTAGCGCATATCAATGAAGGAGTAAAATTACTTATGTAGAAAATTTTATAACAGAAATTAAGAAAAAAAGTGTTTTTTTTCAAAAATTTCACTTTTTTTTAGTTAATACCACCAAAAGAAAGCTCTATCTGTTTAAAAAAAATGCTAACAATTTTGTTTGAGTACAGTGTTGCATGACCGTGCAATTGTCATTCAAAGTGGGACAGCACTGAAAGCTGAAAAAATGGCCTGGGCAGGAAGGGGGTAAAAGTGCCCGGTAGGCAAGTGGTTAAAGTTAAAGTGGTTGTAAACCTCAGATATGAAATATGAGCAAAGCATATCTCACTATAGTGTGTACTTGTCTCTATACAGAGTGCAAAGTGTAATTTCTGTCTGCTGCTTCATTCCTCTGCTACAGTATCTGCATGAGTCACTTCTGACAAGTTTTCCTGTCATCAAGGGAAAAATGGTGACAGAGGAGGGCGCTCCAGCAGATTGACAGCCTTGGCTCTGTTTCTGTGTGTTGTGTGAAGGGGGTTGTAGGCATATAAAATTTGTGTATCATAGATATAACTACAGTCAGGTCCATAAATATTGGGACATCGACACAATTCTAACATTTTTGGCTCTATACACCACCACAATGGATTTGAAATGAAACAAACAAGATGTGCTTTAACTGCAGACTGTCAGCTTTAATTTAAGGGTATTTACATCCAAATCAGGTGAGCGGTGTAGGAATTACAATAGTTTGCATATGTGCCTCCCACTTGTTAAGGGGCCAAAAGTAATGGGACAGTTGGCTTCTCAGCTGTTCCATGGCCAGGTGTGTGTTATTCCTTCATTATCCTAATTACAATGAGCAGATAAAAGGTCCAGAGTTAATTTCAAGTGTGCTATTTGCATTTGGAATCTGTTGCTGTCAACTCTCAAGATGAGATCCAAAGAGCTGTCACTATCAATGAAGCAAGCCATCATTAGGCTGAAAAAAAAAAACCAAACCCATCAGAGAGATAGCAAAAAAACATTAGAAGTGGCCAAAACAACTGTTTGGAACATTCCTAAAAAGAAGGAACGCACCGCTGAGCTCAGCAACACCAAAAGACCCGGAAGACCATGGAAAACAACTGTGGTGGATGACCGAAGAATTCTTTCCCTGGTGAAGAAAACACCCTTCACAACAGTTGGCCAGATCAAGAACACTCTCCAGGAGGTAGGTGTATGTGTGTCAAAGTCAACAATCAAGAGAAGACTTCACCAGAGTGAATACAGAAGGTTCACCACAAGATGTAAACCTTTGGTGAACCTCAAAAACAGGAAGGCCAGATTAGAGTTTGCCAATCGACATCTAAAAAGCCTTCACAGTTCTGGAACAACATCCTATGGACAGATAGACCAAGATCAACTTGTACCAGAGTGATGGGAAGAGAAGAGTATGGAGAAGGAAAGGAACTGCTCATGATCCTAAGCATACCACCTCATCAGTGAAGCATGGTGGTGGTAGTGTCATGTGTGTGGGCATGTATGGCTGCCAATGGAACTGGTTCTCTTGTATTTATTGATGATTTGACTGCTGACAAAAGCAGCAGGATGAATTCTGAAGTGTTTCGGGTAATATTATCTGCTCATATTCAGCCAAATGCTTCAGAACTCATTGGACGCCGCTTCACAGTGCAGATGGACAATGACCCAAAGCATACTGCAAAAGCAAACAAAGAGTTTTTTAAGGGAAAGAAGTGGGAATGTTATGCAATGGCCAAGTCAATCACCTGACCTGAAAATGATTGAGCATGCATTTCACTTGCTGAAGACAAGCCTGGCAGAGCATCACCAGGGATGAAACCCAGCGTCTGGTGATGTCTATGCGATCCACACTTCAGGCTGTAATTGACTGCAAAGGATTTGCATCCAAGTATTAAAAAGTGAAAGTTTGATTTAAGATTATTATTCTGTCCCATTACTTTTGGTTCCTTAACAAGTGAGAGGCACATTGCAAACTGTTGTAATTCCTACACCGTTCACCTGATTTGGATGTAAGTACCCTCAAATTAAAGCTGTCAGTCTGCGGCTAAAGCACATCTTGTTTGTTTCATTTCAAATCCATTGTGGTGGTGTATAGAGCCAAAAATGTTAGAATTGTGTTGATGTCCCAATATTTATGGACCTGACTGTATATATATAAAATATGAGTAAATGTGCTGTATATACATTCATGTATGTGAAGTTGGAATTCATAGTGGACCAGAGGAACTGCATATTTTACACACCAAAAGGATAGCCAAGGACTCCTTACCAGGGGTGGACTGACAACTCATGGGGCCCCCAGCAATAGGGGATCATGGGGCCCCTGTGTCCTTGCCCAAACTCAAAAAAAGCCTATGAAAAAGGTACCAGGGCATCTCATGGGGCCCCCTACTGACCCTGGGCCCTCGGGCAGTGCCCCAGTTTCCAAATGGTCAGTCCGCCCCTGCTCCTTACTATGTTAATTTATGCATGAGGTAATTGCCTTACCTTTGTTATGTTGGGGTAACCTGTTTTTGGGTAAATATGTGGAGAGTCAGGGGGAGTTTCAGAGCAGGTTATTTGCAAATAGATTGAGAAAGGTCTTAAATATTCATGGTGTGCTTGTTTATGGTGAAGAGAGCAGATTTGCCATAAACAAGACAAGGAGTATCTATTTAACTTTTTAATTAAAATCTATGCATACAGCTGTTCTAGGTCTAGACACATGGGATCATAGGGGCTCCTAAAAGTGGCCAATCAGAGTGCTTGCCATTGTACTGAATGGGAAAAATGTGTATATTAACCTCCTTAGCGGTATTCCCGAGTGTAGCTCGGGGTAAAATTTCAATATCAAGAGCGGTAACCCCGAGCTACACTCGGGCTTACCATGCGGCATTGTTCAGGGGGTCCCTGCAGCACTTACCTTGTCCTTCACTCCCGCGATGTGTCCCCTGCAGCATCCCCGGCCATCTCCTCCGGCCGAAGCCGGCATCCGGCTTCTGTGTTCCGGTCCCTGTGACGTCGGGACGTATGGGCGCCGAAACCGGCGGGAAATTTGAAATTTTTAAAAAATTTCATTTTTGCTGTCATTGCTGTTTCAATGCATTTCACATATATTTTGCCCTACTGCTTTGTCCTGTGCCCTGCCTGCATTTTATGCCTGGACACTTAGAAAAGTCCATGGCGTCCAAAAAGCGTCCCTTTACGTCAAAAGTGGTTTTAGAACAGCGATAGTAAATCAGAACCACTTGCAGAATTGAGTGATAATGATTTGTGGTGAAATTCGTCATCAGACACCGAAAACGATTTTGCGACTTTGCTCAGCGATGTGCGAATTTGCCTCTGTATTTCAAATTTCAGTGTTTTTTGTTTGATTATTTTATTGAATCAAATTTATTATTATTATAGTATTATTTTTTATGATTATTTATTAAATTATAATTTTATGATTTTGTGTTTCAAGTTTTATCATATCCGGAATGTTTACTAGACTCTTGTTCGGACAGATTTCAGTGAGTTATTCCTAAAAATTACAGCCTACAATAAAAAACTACATATTTCCATGCAAAAAAATGTACCGCTTTCAGCACAAGAAATCGGAAAGAATCATACCGCTGAGGAGGTTAACCACTTCCCGTCTGGCCCATGTAAATAAACGGCCGTAAGGGGGAAGTGTAGGAGCGGGTTGCCGTTCATAAACGCAATTTCAGCCTGTGCGAGCTCCCTGGGATTGCTGTACGGGACCTCTGTGTGAGGTCCCAATCATGTGATCACTGATTGGCCAATCAGTGATCACATGAATAGTAGTAAGCAAGATGTCACTTCTGACATCATTGCTTACTACTTGTGAAATCTGTGAATGATCACAGAGATCACATGGTACAAGCTATTCACAACATCCTTGTACCATGTGACAAGCTGTGACCAATCACAGCTCTCACAGTATTTCTCAATGACTGCAAGAATGCAGCCAGAGAGTAGAAATTATTGCTTTTATAGCCTTTATGGGTGTAAAAGCAATCAGTGTAAAAAAAAAAAAAAAATCTTCATCACCCATCACAAGTAGTACAGTGTCATTATGGTGATACTGTACTACTAGGGTGACAGTATGTTAAAAAAAAACATAAATAACAATATAAAAAAAATAAAAATGTAAAAACATTTTTTGAAAAATTATAATTTTTGGTTATATACTAATTTTGGCTATTTATTTTTACTAAAAAGATAGCTGAATACATTTTGGCCAAGATTTATGAAGAATTATTATTTATTTGCAACATTTTATAAGAAAAACACTTTTTTTTCAAAATTTTTGGACTTTTTCATTTATGTAGAGAAAAAAAAAAAATCCCAATGGTGAATAAATACCACCAAAATAAAGTTTTATCTGTCTCAAAAAAATGCTAAAAAATTCATATAGGTATAGTGTTTCATGCCCGCGCAATTGTCAAAGTGTGACAGCTCACCACCCTCTTTTTTTCTGACAGCTCAGACAAGCTGTATGATTTCTGAACTTTGTATGGCTGTAGCGAAGACTGCAGATAAACAGGCACAACTCATGTAGGAGGATTTGTTTCATGTCTGTGTGTCACCTGAGGCCAGTCACTTCACTGGGTATATTTAAGGGTTTACATCCATTTTAAGGAATACTACATTATCACAATGGATACTTTTATTCTTTCGTTAAAAATGCATCACTAAACAGTAACATAAGAATTGTACTTCAGACAACCATTCCACTCTCACACCGCTTGTCACAGCTCACATTTTTTGTTTTATTGTTCCTTCCACGCCAAAGGGGATAGTTATTTTTGTTAACTAGCTAGCTCAAGTAGTGGTGTAATTTATTATTACATGCATACTTTGGGTTTATGGTTATCATAATAAAGTTATTTAATTATTTATAAAACCAATAATAAAAGGACAATGGCCAATTTCGAATCTATTACGTTTTTCAGTGTATTTATTATTTATAGTAATTTGGTTCTGCCTGCAGTCCCATGTATTACCTGCTGTGCTAATAAGACCTCAATGAAAACGTATACCAAAATAAGCACAGCACCAAAAAACACACTACTAAAAAGTCCCTAGCATGGCAAACCATTACATTGATCACTGGGGAAAAGAATACATTTTTATGAACAATGACTTAACTAACTTGGAATTGACCTATGCTGAAAAAGGATAGTTTTTAGTATCATTATTGAAAAATAACCCCCCCAAAACATTATACAGTTGTGCTCCTACCGTTTCCATCTTAGGAGATAGGTTGGCTCTAAATGTATTAAAGTGTTACTAAACCCAGGACCCTGCATTCTCTCTATCTGGTCTTCCACAGTACACGGAACATGGAAATGCAATTTTTTTAGTAAATATAAACTGCTAAATATCTTTTCTCATCAGCAGTTAGAGCAGTCTTGTGACTTCTATCAGTGTCCAGCAGTGCACATGTTAAACCTTGTAGGAGGAGTTTTCTTTCTGCTCTAGGAGGATGCAGAACCTCTGACCTTTGTCTGTAAAGTGCTGATTGGCCCTGTGCTGATCACATGCACTCTCCCAAGAAAAAAAGAACTCTCTAGCAGTACAAACCAACTGAGCATGTGCAGAGTGAGTCCAAACAATATGTCTTATCAGGAGATAAGAAGGGGACATTGGAAGAAGGGGAGGATCAGAGAAGTCAGGATCAAACAGCCTTTTTACACAGTGCAGAGGATTAACACCTTAGGTTCCACAGGAAGTATATCAAGCATGTTTTACTGCATATACAGACTAGTTTTACTGTTGTGGGTTTAGTAACACTTTAAATTCCCCCAAAAGGAGGACTACAGCATTGTTTGATGGGTTGGGTATTTTAGGGAAATGACAGAGTGCATTATTACTGGAGGTAATCTAATCTTAAAGTGATTGTAAAGGTACAACTTGCCAATAGCTCCCCCTGCCATATCTGAGCCAATGAAGAGGGAGAGACCCGGGAGAGACGATGCTCTTGAGCACATCGCTGGATTAAGATCGGGCTCAGGTAAGTATTGGGGGGGGGGGTTAGATGGGAGCTGCACACTGAAAGTTTTTTACATTCATGCATGGAATGCATGAAGATAAAATACCTTCAGCCTGTAGAACTTTAAGTAGGAGGTGTCTAAGAATAAAACCTACTAGAAATGTAATAGGAAAGTATTGTACGCTAAATATCAACATATATTAACAGTTTTATTTCTAATTTTTAAGTATGTATTTTATGATTTTTTTTTGCTTTCATGCCGCCCTATAGCAGAAATACTGCTACAGGGCGGCGCAGATATATATACATGATTTTGCCATTTCAGGTAGGGAGCCCTCCCCATGACGCAGTCTGCAGCCTCGGCTGTCAATCACCAGGTCCCGGCCTGTGCTTCCCTGCCGTCACCCGGTGATCGCCGAGTATCAGCAACAGGGGAGAGACCTGTGTATAAATAACACAGATCTGTCCCCTGTCAGCTCCTGCACACTGCTTTGTATGGCTCTGCATAACAGAGGCATACAGAGCAGTGTGGTTACAGTGTAGAGCACACACAGCCCTCATAGTAAAACAGCACACAGTTAACCCTTTGATCGCCTCACATGTTAACCTCTTCCTGCTCAGTGCCATTAGTACAGTGTCAGTGCTTTTTATTAGCCCTGATCACTGTATTGGTGTCACTGGGGATGTCAGTGACACTAAGTCAGTTGCCCCCAGTGTCAGAATGCCCACTGCAGTCCCGCTATAAGTCGCTGATTGCCGCTATTACTAGTAAAAAAAAAATAAAATAAAAATTCCAGTATATATACCGCCATTTGTAAACGTTATAACTTTCACATACACAAATTTACTCGTATTAGGATTTTTTAGCAAAGACGTAGCAGAATACATTTTGGCCTAAATTTATGACAAAATTGAATTTTTTTTACTGAACATGTTTAATAGCGAAAAGTAAAAAATAGAGCTTTTTTTTCAAATTATCAGTCTTTTTTTGTTCATAGTGCAAAAAATTAAAACCGCACAGGCAATCAAATACCACAGAAAGAAAGCTCTATTTTTTCCCTTGGTTTTCAATTATTTTTTTGGCACACAGCACTTTACTTATGAACTGTTTCTTTTAATTTTGCAGTGTATGAATTATTTAATTGCCGTTCATTAGCACTATTTACGTGTTTTTAGAGCTATGCCTTTTTTTTGCTTTACATTTTTATTGCAAACTTAAAAGCACAGCAACTGACATATTGTTCAGTTATTAAAGATTATCACTGCACTTATGTATACATCAAGTATGGGAGTTTTATGTATAGAAAGTTTTTAGAAGACTTTGTTCCCTATTAAAAAAAAATAATCGTTTTCTAGATGAGTTATTAAAACAGTCAACATTTTATTTTCCCATAACATTATTATTATTATTATTATACAGTATTTATAAAGCGCCAATAGTTCGCTCAGCGCTGTACATTACAAAGGGGA